ATACTCTAAGCGCAGCTCATTTAGTGGCTCTACCCCCAACGTTATTTGAAAAGCACTAAAAAAATATTGCCGCACGCGCGCTTGTGCGAGGACACTAACTGTTGCAAAACTATAAACTAACTCATGAGTTAAAAAAAAATGGTGGACGTTAGTTTTCAAATTTGTTTCCGTAATTACCCGAACTACGAGGAACATGCCGCGGGCGTAGTTGCCCAGGCTGCATGCGCTGTCGTCTTCGGGAGTAACTGTTGTAAAACATAAACCTAAACGCCAACGACTTACTTAATTTTCTATACGGATAAGGCGAGCGCGCTCCGCGCGCGTATTATACGTACGTAACTTGCCAAAATACGTCTCATTGCCTCTGGCACCAAACCTCGCTCCACCTCGCAGATAACCACTCCACGCAGGGTGCGTCGACTCGCTGCGCGGAAGAACCATCTTTCCCACGCAGCATTACTCACTCCCAAAAGGCAATGATTTCAAATGACAGACAAATACGACGCATCATGCCGCCTACTCATACCCTCAACCGGCCTTATTATCGCCTCCCGCACCCACGCAATGGCAGTCAAAGCCACGAGTCAGTGACGCAACCGCTCAGGAAAGTCGGAGGGGGGGGGGGGGGGGGGGGGGCAGAGAGCCTCGATTTAAGAGTGTGAGCAACCAAAACCGTGGAAATCGTTCTCAATTTCTTGGTGGACGCCTCCTGGGAAGACTGCACGATTCCAAGTGCGCATGCGGAGAGTTGTCGGACGGAAAGGCAGATACGTTTGCAGACGATCGACCAGTTGGAAACTCTCCGAGATATAGGCACTCTGTGGGGGGCATCGGTGCAGCGTCGGCCGAGTGGGCCTAATGAAAAGCCAAGACGAGAAAGTGCGAGCAGAGATGAGAAGACGGCCGGGGGGCCCTCCAAATTGCGTTTACGCGACGACCCCCGTAGAGCACGGCTCGTTTTCGACGGCCTTGGAGAAGATTCGGGGGAGGGTGGGCCCCCCGTAGATTATTACAGCACCGCCCTGCTGCCGGAACAGTCCATTACACGGCCCCCGGGTGCTCCGAGAGAGCCTTCTTCTTCTCAACCCCAACTGCTCACGCGATCCGATCGAACAACGAGGAGGGATTCGGGCGTATAAGCGATGCTCCAATGGAGGGAGGGCACGGCATTGTTGATCACCGTGATTATGATTAGCGCACTGAATGAAACCTGGAACCACGGCGAGTGATTATTGAGACGTGTGTTCGAACCGAAACGACACGGGAAACAGACGAGGTGTGGGTGAACTCGAGCGTGCACGTGAATGCACCCGGGCGCGGGCCCCTTCGCTTCCAGCGGTTGTTTTTCTCGCAGCTGCCGCGTCGGTTTCGCGAAGGTCTGGCTCATCACACATCGGGAATGGTAGGTTTGTACGTTGTACACGACGATAAAAACCGTGGCAGGCATATCAAGTACCAGGCTACTCCGAACCAGTCACGCAGGTGGTCCCACGAAAGAGCTCGAGTTAAAATATATTCACTCTGGAAAGTAAGAGCTAAAATGGCAAGCTAGACGTCGGCGAGAATACACTCTTCCCTACGGGCGATTCTCTCCCTTTCAAGCAACATCAAAAGACAACTTAAAAGTAACTCCATTCCTTACTAAAGAATGGGCAACGCACGTTGCTGATATTCTACACTGCGCAAACTCGCAAACCCCAGCGCAGCTTTCGCCCCGCTCGGATTGGAAGCATTTCCGCAGCGCGCGTGGTAGGCAAATTCTGCGATCGGCACCACTGAATATCGCAGCAAATCCGAGACTCTTCCAGGAACCATTCACCCACCAGCCCAGCTACACAGGTCAAATTGCTGCTCTATCGCGGTGATACGAAAAAAAACTTGCTTTCTGTCCAATATTATTCTTAACACAAATTTGCCAGTCTATTCCACAGCAAGGTATACGTGAGATGCGTTGTCCCGGCGGGCGACGGGGTGCAGGCTGTCGCGCCGAAGTCACCCGCGTGGAGAGGTTCGAGTCGCTCACGGTGATACAAGGCGTTTCAAGCGACTCCGTGACAGTAACCGGAGTCAATCGAACGTAACCGGTTTGAAGAGCGCCCACCGCCTTCCCCCTCCCCTAATCCGGGACCCTGCGCATCCGCCTGCAGATGAAAACGAAAGCGCGTCTCTCACCTTTCCTGGCCTCCCCCCCGTGTCGACGTGGGCGGCTCGTAGGCACGTGACACGCCCACTGCCTGACCCCCGGGTTCGAGTAAACGACCTCTTTGTACGCTCCTCCCAAGGTCATTCCCACCTCAGGTAACGACACACGCCACTGCCTCGAGTCGAGACATCCGCGTTGACTGCACCACGCTGCGTCGCGTTCAACGAGGTAGAGGGGCTTTGAGCGAGAGACTGGGGGGCTATGTTCGACAAATGTTTCGTTTCTCCTAAAAAGAAACGCAAGTGACGGAAGTGAGGATATCGCGTCTGACTGGCTAGAGGCTCAAATGACGAAAGAGGGAACTTTCGTTATTTGAGCCTCTAACCAATCCGACGCGATATCGTCCCATTTCCATCACTTTCGTTTATTTTTAGGAGAAACGAAACATTCGTCAAATCTATCCAGGCAAAAGTGACCCCACATGGCCGCCGCCATGTTGTACAATTTTGACCACTAGACACATGACTGTACCAAATCCTGAAGCTTTTACGCAAACTGAGCCGAGATTTGTATCGCGGTCGCTGTAAGAAACACGATATATATTTTTACAATACTGTTAGCCATAGAGATCATTGTCTAGCTCCGATAAAAACCCAAAATACAGCACCGCGGCCAACGGCACCGAGCGGAGGCATTGCAAAACTGCCAGAGTTTTGGTCATAAAAGCACATTTTGGACTTAAATCCAACGAAACATAACTTATCTCGTCGATACTGTCATTAAAGATCAATGAGCAATTATTTGTGCGCGGTACTTCGCTAAAAATCTAGACGTAAAACTATAAGCTCACGTGTCTAGCGGTCCAAAAAGTGCAACATGGCTGCGGCCAATCGGGGGCCACTTTCAGCTGCCAGTTTATCGCTCTAGAGCCCTCGTTGGTCGCCTTGCACAGTGACAGACTGCGCGGCGCTCGGTTGCCACGGTAACGCTCGTCGTGAGCGGTCATAACTAGGGGTGTCGCGAACCGGCCGAGGTTCGAGTTCGACCTGGTTCGACTTTTTCGTGGAAATTTTGACGAACCTTGTATTGAGGTTCGACTCGTGTGCGCATGCGCGACAGGCTGGCCAGTTGGCTTCGGATTGGATGGTAATGGCTAATGGATGAATTAAGGGCACCGCTGGTTGGTTATTTCAGTTAATACAGTACAAAAAAAATTAAGTTATTAACGTCTTTAGTGAATAGAAGTGGTTTCTTTTAATTCCAACTGTTCATAAAATAAAATAACCATTTGCATAAAAATAAATTCTCCAAACCTAGACATGCATCTATCAAGGTCTGGCCACACTGTCCGCAAAGTCGAACCGGTCGAATTTGGTGAAAAGTTTCGAAGGTTCGTCGAACCGGTTCGACCCAGTCGAACCCCGAAAGTTCGACCTAAAAATCCGGTTCGACAAAAGTTCGCGACACCCCTAGTCATAACGCAGTCGGTCGTACTCAGGACGCAGACATGTTTGGATAAGCCTCGAAGCTGCGGTCAGACCGCCAGCACATCCTACAAAAGACAAGCTGCAGACATGTCAGAAGCACACGTATGTATGAACACTCTCCCAGCGTGCTTGAGGCATGTCCCCAGATAATGTTGTCGCAATGTTTGCAGCGAACGCTGCGCCTTTCGTGTGATACGAGCTGCGGTCAAAAAGTTCCGGGACTAATTTTGTAGCGGAAAAGAGAGAGAGAGATGCGCAGTGACGCGCGCGCAGCTGTCGAGGGAAGGGTGTCTCGTTATGCGAAAAAGCGTCGCACTGTGACCATTTGAAGCTGGGCTACACGAGTTCTTGTGACCACGTGCACAGTTTCACCATGATAGACTGCGAACCAGAGCGATCGGAGCTGGGCAAATATAAACGGAGAGCTTTAAAATGATTCGGCAGATCCGTGGCAAAAAGCGAAACCACCCAGGGACCCTGGGCTCCATCCCGGCCGTCTCGATCCAGATGAGCAACGTGTATACTGGCGTGCTTCGTGATGCACGTTAAAGAGCGCACTGACTAAACGTCTCATCGACAGCCCGTCGTATATAATAAGAAGGCAGCGGACCAACCTCACGCCGTCTGAACGCTCACGATTCGCCGCTCAGCTTGAAAACAAGGTTCTGGGGCTGAAGGAGATAAATCGGGGAAGATCATTGTCTCCTCGGGTGCGTTGTCTTCTTGCAGTCTTTTATGCGTCCTTTTGACTCGTCATTCCTTTCGGTAACGCGCTCTGGGATTCGAAAGTATCCAAATAATTAAATACAGACGCAACGAGTTTCAGCTTCCTCGAGCGTCGCAAAAACACCCAAGCTGACCTCAAGCGGTCACTCCCTAGGCACAAAACGCAAGCTACATACCACGCAAAACACACGAACTGAGTGTGCAGCCATACAAATAGCTTTTGACCTAAATAAAACAAATATGGCATCATTTTTTTTTTTTTTTTTTTTTTGCTATTGAACGAGAGTTCAATTCTATTAGAGGCGTCAAAGCCTAAGGGTATCGAGCGGCGACGGCACAGCATGTCCATGACATCGCCTGAACGCCTCCTCCAGTGTAATATAACAGGTTCAATAACCCACTATTACCCTATTAAATAAGCGGCACGAGTCGCCGTAGTTTTGACGCCGCGCGTACAGCGAACTTTGCCAGGTGAAATTCGCCGCATGCCCGTCGCATCGTATATGTGCTACATTGTGTTCAGCCTTTTGTCACTTGTCGCTCGGGTGAAACCGACTATAGCTGCCAAAGCCGTGTCTGACGGAGCTTATACCCGGAGCAGGGAAGAGGCAGAATACGTGCTGCTTGAGCTCGATCTCACTTACCACGGACTTTATCGGGAATCGGGACACAGGGGGCCAGACGACGTCGCCGGCGCGGGTCGGCAGCGGCGTTAGCTGGCTGGAAAGAAACATAATGCTGATATGACGTGGGCGCCCCAAACAGGAAGCGGCGCATCCACGCAAACGGTTACGTAAACACTGCGGGCAAAAATAAAATAATACAATAAAAGAGGCGTTCCGAACTAGTTTTTTTGCCGTTATTCTTGTTCGGGAGCTCCTTACAATGAAGCTTGCGTAACCATATTGCAGTTTTCAAACCGGCGGCGTTCGGCCGCGGCATTAGTTCATACAGCAGCGTAAACATATCCAAACCCATCGGCTGTTTCGAACAACCGTTTCGCAATGATAAAAAATAAACAAAAATCAGTCAAGAAAAGAAAAAAGAAACATCGCCACGCGTTGTTCGTTATATTAAGCATGGCCAATGTCCGCTTTTAAACATGGCCAATGTCTGTAGTAAAAAGCCGACATTTTTTAGACAAAAAAATAGGTTATTTCGCCTTGTATCGATATAGTCCCAGACAACTTCAGAAGCGCAGGGTGTGGCGAGTCATCTTACCGAACAAATCAGGCAATAAAAAGCGTGAAAAAAAAAATTAGTCATACTCTTCGTTTCTTAATAGTGACTATAACTGTATTCCCCGGGCTCAGCCAAGCACAGTCATACAATTTACCATCGGAATGGGACTACCTCTAGACAGCGAGAGACAAACGATGCAACGGCGAACCAACCAGAACGATCAGACATCCGGTCCAATTCATCATAATGACAGTAGCGATAATAATAAATTCCGTGGAATGCAAGATGACACACGGCAGGTCTGCCGAGGTCAGTAAGGGCTCGGGGGGATTAAATCCAATAATAATCATACACGTCTCAGGTTCAGGAGAGCTGCCATGCTGCAGAAAGGCTACGAAGGCCGGCGGCGCCACCGTCTAATGATGATGTCATCAGACTGATTAAAGAAAAGTGACGAAGCTGGGTAAAGAAAGTTAAAAAAAGTTGCTCCCAAATCATTTTCAGTCGTTCGTCGCTTAGTGGGAGAGATGGAGCGCAAGGGCAGAATTGTTCTCAAAAACGCCCGAAAAAAAAAAAAAATAAAAAGAAGCAGTCCTGTGAGAGTTTGCGGTACAGTCAAAGCAATAGCTTCTACAACATAACGGACCTATCCTTATGCATCTTACACCTTACTTGGAGGAACCATCGTCAATCTTTGCTCACACAGTGACATATCTCAAGGGACACTAAACCACTTTCTGCGATATTCTATTTATGGTCATAAGTCAATCTACTGTGGGCACTAAACATCATTAAAAAAAACATTCCATTTATGCCTGACTGACTTCTCTATTAAAATCGGTATCAAAAGATCGACACCAGACGGTGTTATCGCACCAGGAAAAGCAGGGGCCTGCCCTTCCTCGTGCGATGACACCCTCTGGCGTTTGCGATAATTCCGAGGTAATCAATCTGCTGATATCAATTTTAACAGAGAAATCGGCCACGCACGAATGTAATGTTTGGTGTCTTAGGATCCTTAGAGTGACAGATTGAGTTATAATCGTAGACTATCGCAGAAATCGGTTAGTGTCAGTTCGAGGGAAGCTCCTCCCACCCCTTCCCACTTTAGCAGAGCGAACGCTGGAGAGGAGGGCGCCTCCTCTGCCACCGCCTATAAACAATATGACGTCACGTTACATCCTGACGTCATGTGATGATTTCTATAAAATTTCTACAAAGTAATTTTTTTTTTTAAATCTTGATTTCGATAATGCTTTTTACAGAATTCACACGGAATTTCTATAGAACTTCCCACGACATCATGACGTCACGTTGCAGCGTAACGTCACGCGACGCTCGGATATCACGTGACCCGTGACGCTACGTGACACTAGATGGACGCCATCATTTTGGCTGAGAAAAATAAATCGCTTTAAAAAAGAGAAATAAAACATTTGTATAATCTAGAACGTCACACCCGGCGCACAAGATCAACACCGTTTCATCACACCAACTTCAAACACACGCAAAAAAAACAAACAAAAAAACAAAAAAAACGCCTTTTTACACGCGCAGGCGTTAGCACGCGTGTAAACATGTCCACCGTGCTCGACTGCCGGAGCGAGCGAGCGAACGCACCCGTACACACACGCGGCGACGACAGCTCCCCAAAGTCAGACCATCAAAACACATCAAATCTTCCGAGACGACCCGGACCGGGGAATAAAACGGGGGCCCAAACTAACAAACCAAAAAACGACAAATATTTACACCCGGGAGGGCTAAAAAGGAAGGTGCGGAGCGGAGGTGACGATAAAAATTTTCCTCCTCCTGACCGCCAAATTTACAACCTTTTCCGTCACCTGGTGGTGGGGGCGGTCTCCCTCCCTCTCTCTCTCTCTCTCTCTCTCTCTCTCTCTCTCTCTCTCTCTCTCTCTCGCTCTGTCGCACATCTCGCGAGGAGGGCCGAGACTGCGGGCGAGACCGCACGAGACTCAACGCGGGGAACGGGGGAAAGGCAAGGGGAACGCTGGTACAGCGGTACACCAACAGGCAGCGACGACGAGGGACCGGCAAAAAGACGGATGCTCAAGCACTACAAAAAACTAACACGGCAAAACATCCATACAGCGGACAAACCATAACTCGAAGTGGAAAGAAACAAACATAAATAAAGGCAGAGCGCCACAGCAGAAATAACCCAGGCACGCAAGATGTGAAAATGACCCCAACGAGATAGGAACTACCCTTTCCTCTTCTTTTTCTCTTTAAACTGCATAATATTCTTTTTTTTTTTTTTTAATTCGGCGACGTTATAATATTTTTGTTATTTCTTTATTTTCGGCTGGAGGGTGCTATAAGCCGTCATTCCTCGAGGCGCCAAATAAACAGATCATGTTGTAAGATATGCATCGCGAAGAGCAAGCGCAAGTGTCTCGACCTCACCGCGCCGGAGCTCCGCAAGGCCATTTGTCAAAACGTCGTGGAGAAAGAAAGAAAAGAAAAAGAAAGTAGAGAACGATGACCGGAAGAGAGGAAAGGAGGGAGAGAGCACTGTCCGATCAAAATTCGGCCAACCACGCATAATGCCGCCGTCATACCAGTGGAACGCCAATGTTTTATATATTTTCTCTCTGTCTCTCGAAGAGTGTGTTCTCTTTAAAGAAGCGTGAGTGCATAAAATGGGCATTCACGCTACTTTGAAACAATGTATAAAATACATTCTTTCTCGTCTAAAGACTTGGTTCTTCCGTTGTCGTTCCATAAAATCTAACGTGAAACTTCAAATACAAGAAAAGAAAAAATAAACATTTTGGAGCAGGGACAAAATACGCATCGCCTCCGAGGATCACGACCGCCCAACACAATGCATGGGTCGAACCATAAACCAGCTAGTACAAACCCCCGGTGAAAAACAACGCCCGCCTTTACATAACTTGGAGACATAAGCCTCCGCTCAGATTCACGGGAATAAACATCCGTTTTTGTAGATGAGAGAGATCCAGGAGGGCAGCTCTGCGGAACCGGACAACCCAGGATCATAAGCGATCAAATTTCAAAGCCCCGGTAGAAAAAACAACAACAACAGAAAGACGCTTCATATATAAAAAAAAAGGTTAATAAAGAAGATATTGGAGGGAGATCTCTTCCTTGGGCAGCGTGTCTCCATACGGCTAGAGTGCCTCAATTTTGCTGACGACATCACCCGAAATTCGCTAAAGCCTGTACGTCCGCTAGGTCAGCTGAGCTAACACGCCCTGCGTCAAGCAGCTTTTCTTTCTCGTTGTCCGTGACGATACGTAGCGATGTAACGACACTTTCATTTATTTATTTAAACATACTTCGGGCCAAAAGACCCCAGAGAAAGGGGCAAACAGATTTCTGTGGACACCTGTTAGAAACACACGCGCACACACACACAAAGAAGCAAAGCTTCAACTTACGAAAGTCTCGGGCCTTCAGCTAATGCTGGGGTCGCACTGCTAATGTACCGTACAAAGCAAAGTTTGCTTACTCTGTCTGAGGCCTTCCTTGTATGAAGGCCGAATCGCGGGGTCAAACAAAAAATGCCTTTAGAGCCGCTCGAAGCATACACATGTACTATAAAGCAAACATGTGCTTCGGGCGTGTCCACGGGTGTGCGGCGTGTCTTTTGTATCCTGTACAAGCAGTTTCGTTGAAAACGATCCACTTGATCGTTTTCAACGAAACGTATTAGCTTAGTTGACAACAGACAAAGAAAACGTACAATAATGTTTCATCATAGAAATAAGATATAATAACCGATCCGCCGGCATTGCTTACGAGGGGACCTCGGGCTGCATTCGCAATTCGCAGACATGCGGACGCAGATGCCGCTTCGAAGCAGAATGGCACGGAACGTTTCATTTGGTACCAAGGTGCGCCAACTGTTTTCCAGCACGACGCGCAAGCGAGGAGCCAGCGATCGCGTCGGACTGCTCGGAACCAATGAGACGCCACTCTGCCGCACTTCTTCGTGGTGTTATTGCACCCCACGGTTCATCCCCTGTCGCAAACAGCCTAAATCAGAAGCAAGCCCACAAAACCGCAGACGCTCACTATATACAACGCACAACGCCGTGGCGTTGTCTGCTCTCGGATACGACATCTGACGTCACGGGTGCCCCTGCTCGTTGTTGCCAGGAGAGCGGCAGCAAGTGATTCGGAGGTGTACGCGTAAACGTCCAGATTCATTTTCTCGAAAGAAAAACGGTATTAAATATTTTGCGGTGGATATTTATCGGATATTTATACTTCGTTTCAGCTTCAGCCGACGCTACGGGCTAATGGGAAAAATCTATCATTATCGAGGGTGCAAGTCACTAGGCCTTTTCTGCTTATGATTGGCTCAGCGATGATAGCACAAGTCCATGACGTCACGGAATGGTCATACACTCTTTCCACCCCAACGAGATGGTCATACACTCTCTCCACTTCAGCTTGAAGGCGAAGTCGCTCCACCTCTCCTCCACGCGCCCGAAATGTTGAGAGAGAAAACCAGTGGAGAGGAGGTGACTACCGACTAAATAGCGTCT